TGATCAAACTGAGCTGAGAAAAATGCCAAGCAATAGCTAAGTCGTAATATGGGATTAAAGGGAAATAGAGGAATTTTGTGCACATTTACAAATGTAAAAGCAAGAAAATGTGCATTCGCATACGCGACGTGAACTGGAGTGATGGGAATCGATGTCCCAGGATGCCCTTTGAATAATCGATTACAATCACGCTCTTTTAATAACTGTTCGTCGTCCTTATCAAGAAACGCGTTCTGTGCAGGGCTGCCTAAGTTTTTCATTCCCGCTTAGAATTCGTAACTAAGAGAGAATTAAACTTCTTTCATGGATACCTGTTGTATACTTTTGGCACTGATGATTGCTTAATAGGCTTACCCCACATGCATGTGTCCACCACGCCGGAAATTCCCATTTTTGTCGTGGGACATGCAGATTGATTCAAGCCAGTCTTATCTTTTTTTTGCGTTTTCGTGTTGAGTTTGAGTTTGCTATCAGTTCCTTGTCGAGCTACTCTCTGGAAATGGATTTAAAAGTATTTCCGATTTCTGCACCGAGTATAGCTAAGCGAAATAGTTCGAGCTAGAACCCCTTCCCTTCCCCTTTCCCTAAATGATCTTTAGAAGAAGGCTTGACTAAAAACCATAATCAGCCAACATTCACGGCTTTTAGGGGGGGTATATGAACCGCGAAGATTTTATATTTCGGTGATTCGGACAAGTTATCCAGCTTGGTAGGCACGTACCGTTACCAGTCTGAACGCGTCAGCTGTAAAGTGACCCTTCCAAACGACAGCCTCCCCCACAGTGTCCTAATGATAACAATATTATCGTCAAGTATGATGTCACATGTGAACTAAGCAGCGTAGTTTTTCATCTGACGCCATTTTGGATGAGATCTCATCAGGTTGAGGCTGGAACTGGACCACATTTTCTTAGATGCTATATAGATTTTTAACACTCAGTACGTGATATTCATATAGTCGAATGGAATACTCATGCAAGGTCGTTTCACTTTTGTTCAATTGCAATTTGTTTTTGCAATTTGTTTTGCTGTAACATCTCTTTCCCAATAGCGAGAGCGAAAGTTCGTCCATCTCATTGCGCAGCTCTTTAGCTTCGTGCCTTCCATTTCCTGTTCAGACTGTAGCATGTAGCTCAATTACTTACAAAAATTACTTGGATTGAACTATACTCACCGTAATGTCCAACTTCACTAAGGCATTTCCTGTCGAGGTTTCCCATGTATATGTGTTCGTTTTTATTTTCTTTGCTCAGCACTGCATAGGTTGCGAGAGAGTTGGTTTTCTCCTGTGCTGAATACTGAAAGCTAGAAAATACGCGCAGCCATTATGGTAAGTAGATGAGATTATCACCGGATTATTCTCTAATGGTCTTCGAGGGGATTACTATGTCTGCGGTCGGTGTGAGCATGGGCGGCATCGATCTGTTCCCACCTGACAGTGGAAAACGTACTAGCTGTTTTGTTATGATAACTGCTGTTTAACGCCGCAGTACGCGTTCCGAATGTTATCACAAGAATGCTGAGTTGTGGGCAAAAGTCGTGCCCCAGGCGGGAGTCGAACCCGCACCTCACGCTTTCCGGGCGAGTGCGCTATCCGTTACGCCACCAGGGCCGCTTTTACCCTCTCAGCTTAACGGCTTTTATGCCGTAGCCTATCAGCACTCACACGTTTAACTTGGTGAGCACTCGCCCGGAAAGCGTGAGGTGCGGGTTCGACTCCCGCCTGGGGCACGACTTTCGCCCACAACTCAGTAGTCTTGTGATAACATTCGGAACGCGTACTGCGGCGTTAAACAGCAGTTATCATAACAAAACA